CCTTACCCCTCCGGCTCGCTGCTGCACCCGGGCACTCAGCGCAGTGCCCAGACCTTGGTGGTTGCTAAGACAGATCACCCACACTAGTTTCCCCGAAGATCGCTGCAAAACTACAACTCTGAGCTTCCTGACCGAGCTCTAAGATGAAGGGATTTTAGGGTCCCTGCTTTTCCTGACACCATAGCTTCCCACCTCCAGCCCTGGATCCACCACACAGACAGCGCCAATTCCATACAAGAATAAAACCTGTTATATAACCACGTGGCAGGCATGGGAGTGAATGGAGAAGCGACCTGAGAGTGGCATGTGGCTACTCTTAGTCTCTCCAAAGGAAACGGATGGCCCCATCCATAAAACTTTTCATCTCCCTGTGAGCCTCCCTCGGCATGCAAACTTTCCTCCTTCATCTCCTCTCCTTGGCGCTCTCTGTATTTTATTTTATTTTGGTCGAGCACATTATTTGAAGTTACTATGGCAACGTGTCACCAGCTGGCATCGCATAGTAATGCTGGCATTTAGGTAGCAAGCTCCCGAAGTTGGCTCTTTCCCTCCCTCTGCGGTCTCATCACTCCCACCAATCTCAGGTGAGCGGGGGTCGCATCTGCAGCGACCATGCCCCTCTCCCCTGTTTCGTTAGTTCTTCAAGACAAGGCAAACTGAGAGCCTCTTCCACGTTCACTCAGCACTGCAGGGGTCCTGACGTGTGTGTGTGTGTGTGTGTGTGTGTGTAGGTGTGTTTGCTTTAGAGGTGGTTAAATAGATAGGTTTGTGTGTTGTGCACCAAAACTGTTGGCCTTGTCAATAACATGATGATGATGATGATGATGATGATGATTTTTCATGCAAAGGGGTGGGTTAATTTGGAGAGGGCTGTTCTCCTGATAGCGATCACCTAGTACCCCAGCTAATTAATGCTAATGATACAATATTGGGTTTCTCTTTTTCTCTCTTGCCGTCACACGGTGAAGAGACCCTGAGTGTTTTCCTTCGGAGCTTCAGCTCTCTCCCAGGTGTACAAGACCTCCCTACACACTGATAGGCTGAATTAATTAAGAGGATTGATTGTCGCGCATCATTGAAGAGCGTTCTATACGGCACATAAGCTCTGCCACTCAAGGCGTTAAGTAGCCCCTCATCAGCCAAGTGCCTGCGATGATTGCATTTATTTTTACACGTTTGACCTAGTTTCAAACCGTGTCTCTTCATGCTGTGATTCATTAGCTACATTTTAAACCATCCCGAATGGAGCAGAGGTGACTCTGCCTGGTTTGTGCCAGCGTCTCAGATACAATTTCTCTCTGGAATTTAATCTGCAGGTCCCCCTGGTATTCTGTTTCAAGAAGCAATTTCCTATCCAGGCACCTGGCATGCTGCTTGGGTACGGATGAGTGGCTGCCTCATGCCTTGGTAGTAAATATATGTTGACCACAAAATCTCCACCAGGGATGAAATGAGGGGCATTCTCACTAGCCTGGACTGCAGGGGATCCCTCCACCCCCTGTCCCCCATGCAGTGGTCAGGCTTTTCCATGCTGCTGACAGGGCTGGGAGTTTGGGCTCTGACACTAAAGTTTGAGCCATGTCAACACTGGGAGTATTCTGAGTTGCTACGGCAGATGCAGCCTGATCATCACCCCCACCCCCAGTCCCTGTATCTCTTTCAAAACACTTAAAACATGGTGGATGTAGAAGGTCTCAAACTTGTGAAAAAAGGGAAGGGGGCTGGAAGGACAGAGGTGGGTTGCCGCGCTGAGGACACAACTGAAAAAGGGATGAACGTCAGAGGAACATAACGTGATTCCATCATTCTACCACTGCGTGACCAAGAGTGTTTTTTTTTCTTCTGGTTTTTAATTTAAATAACAAAGAGGAGGCTTTTCTGAATTCGAACCTGCTGCCGGTGTCTCCATTTCAGAAATCAATCCATCACATTGGTGTGATTTCTGACAGATCTGACATTGAAGTGGGCTAGACACCTTAGCAGGAAAAAAAGGGGATGCTTCCAGTCGGAAGTAAAGCACTGTCATTTCTCATTAACAGCCAAATGCAGGTAACTTGTCCAAACTTCAGTCACATCGCACCACAGATCGTACTGGAAGGCACTCGGCTGGGTTTTTCTATGTGGTAGTTAGAACGAAGAAACGGACAAGCTGGTAAAAGTAATTTTGATTGATCGGTGAGCTGCATACCCTGAGCAAGTCCTTATAAAAAGATAATAATTTCTTTCATAAAACAGTCACTCTTTTAGACGGGTACGGGGACCCCTTCCCCTTTTATTTTCCTTTCAAATGAAGCATGGAAGTTTCTCTAAACAAGGCTTAAAAGACAATGCAGCCTTTTCAAGGTAATTCCAGGCAACTTGAGCTCTGAGGTTCGTTGCTTGCTTTTTTATTTTTTCCCCTTCAAATTCAAATCAAGCCTTTGGAAATAACAAGCATTCCGTATCTGTATCTGTGCATTTGGGGCAGCCTGCAGTTCTGACAATGGTGGATTTTCCAACACACACACACACACACACACACTCTCACAATCGCAGCACTCATTTAAGCCGAGGCTTTGAAAGTAAACTATTGTCCAAGAGATGATAGCATTTTCTCCGAGAGGATGGTGGATCACAAAAAAATAAAACCTTCCCAGATCTCTTACCTTGAAGCCGTGGAATTACCTGCAGAGGATGTCCTTCCCTTCTTTGCAAAATGAGCCAGGCTTTGGCCAGCAGCAGAATTACTCCAAAAGAAGAAATAATAAGTCCTTTATATTGTAATTTTCACTGTTTATATGCAAGAAGTGTAGTGGGTCTGCTCACGTAGGAATAAATAAAAAGCCGGAAAAACTGCACGGCAGCTACCATGTGAAAAGGAAAGACCTCTAGTGGCCACTGGCTGAATTCTTTGAGGAAGCTCCTCACAGAAGCGATGGAGGGAGAAGAGGAGACACAGGCATGTGTGTCATACACACACACACTCTCACACAAGCACCACCCCCCCTCCAAACTCGGAAAATTTCTCTCTTTTTGCATCCAGCCTGCCAAAGGCATAAACAGTAATACACTTGTTTCTTGGTTTTGGGGGCACCTGGTTAAGTTAGCAGCGATGGTGACGTTCTGTCTGGTTTGAAAGGGATGGATAATTTCACAAACTCACCACCACCCCCTGGGGGCCTGAGCCCGAGAGAGAACTTGACTTCCTGGATGGCCAAGGTGGTTGGCCCCAGTGTAGAGGCGCCAGGTCCCCAGCAACATAGTGTCATCACCGTTGCTCCCGAGCGTCCCCATCTGGCACACTCTGCCAGCTCTGCGTGTTTTCTGAGCATTTATGGCGCGCGTGTGTGGCGGTCACTGACAGGGGGTGCTGGCTTCCTGGGCGTGTGCCCTGGCCCAGTGCTCAGAAGGGCTCTGAGGCTGACTTGAAGTTCTGAAGAATTTTTACAAGGACTCTTCAATTTTCATTTCGCCCTGAGCCCCACGAATGGCATAGCTGATCCTGCTGCCTGGGTGAACACACTCTCCCTCACGTCCTAATCGGAAAGAACGTGGAAGCAAGTGAGAGTCCATATCTTTGGGGGTTCCTTTTGGGAGTGCGAGCTTGAAGTATCCCTAAGACTTCCTGTGGGGGAGTGCGGAAGGAGCTTCCTGGGGACCTCGAGGCTGCTCCTGCCACCACCATCGCTGAACTGTAAACCTGTAATCTGGGAGGATTTTTTTTTTCACATTATATTTTAATAACCAAGAAAAGTTTTGTTTTTTTTAAAACAAAGACAGCAGTTTGTGATACAAATATAATACTTGGTTCAAACATAGTACTTCCAGGCCCACCTGTCTGGTCTGCATTATGTCTGATACCCTTTAGCAGCGGGGTTCCCTGGAGATGCCTGCATCCCACCAAACGGGCCATCTTTCACAAGCCTGCCCTTGACAGGGCCTTGGGGGGGCCTTCCTGGGGTTAAGATGGCAGCCCAGGGGAATCTTGCAGGAGACACTCTTGAGTGGCTTCTCCCAGCTGGTAGATTTATGGGCAGTACTTCCTTTAACCAGGTTCCCAGAGCAGGGCTCCCTACATTCCACTTGCGGATGCCAGCCCTGACCAACAACGCCACCCTGGTACAGACTCATAAAATCCGGGAGGGAGAAAGCAGAAGGGGCTGAGGTGATATATTCTGATGCATGACAGGAGGGGGTTCTCGCTTCTCTGATCCCGCGGATCCTTCCAGACCCACTTCCTCTCTGACTCCTCGCGTTGATTCCCTTCTCGTCTGAGTCCCTCTGGCACTTGGTTGGCTTCACAGGCAAAGGTCTTGTACTTTTTCTCTTGTGGATGTTAATCTTGCTCTCCTAACTAGATCATGAACTCCTGAAGAGCAAGGACCACCTCTTCTCTTTTCTTTTTTCCTCCATGGCCCTTAGCAAGTGCCGATCCCTGGTTGCTGCCGGCGTCTCACTGGCTGGTTCGTGGTGGTACAATTGATGCATCTGTTGACAGCTTCAGTGTATTCAAGGCACTATGGGAGCCATCTGATCCTTTGATACATCTCCGGGGGTAGATATGGATGGATTATTGTCCCACTTTACAGATGAAACAGTTAGCAATTAGACGTGTAAAACTGTTTACCAGAAAATCAGACTGTCTCCAGACTCTTGGTACAGGCTGGATCCCCTGACATCAATACGGTGCTCTTTTCCCAGCGAACAAGCCCCCGGAGAGGTAATGGATTGAGCCCTTATTGTCTATATCTGGAGCTTCTATGCAGTCCCAGGCACATAATAGGTGTTCAGTCAGTGCTTTTCGGATGAATGGGCTGATGAATAAGCCATAAGGAGACATTTACTCTCAGGGAAGTTTCACACGCTGATCTGCTAAGGAAAAATTCTCCATCCCTCGGGGGCCTTTTCATACTGGCCTGGGATGGAGAGGTGTTTTCCAGACCGAAGTCGAGTGAATGGAGAAGAGGAATCTTGTGGTCCTCTCTCCGCTGTTTCATGGCACTTTTCCTTACTTCTTGCAGAGTCACTTCGTGGCGTGTATGACAGCCATCCTGCACCAGATGGGCGACCAGCACTATTCCTTCTATATTGAGACCTTCCAGACCAGCTCGGAACTTGTGGTGAGTCTGTAGGGTGCTGGGTCGGGAGAGTGTTGGGGAGAAATTTTGCACTAATGATTCTTGAGAGTTTAGGGCAAGAAGATCTTCCCATGAGCCTTGAGTACCTGTGGGTCTAAGTTTGCAGGCATGTTCGTGTGAATCCTGATTTCTCACTCCCATTTAGGCTTGTGTATATCACTTCTGGGATGCAGCTTCAGCCCATGTCTGACACGAGGCCTCAGTGTCTAAGGCATAAGCCTTAACAAATATTTGTTGATGACCTTGGACATTTTGAGGCTTAAGAGCATGAGCGTTGGAGATGCACAGTCTTGGGTTTGAATCTAGGATTTGTCACCAGCTACCTGTGTGACTGTGGGCAAGTTAACTTTTCTTAAGCCTCAACTTACCCATCTGTAAAGTGGGAATATCATCATTTATGTCCCAGGGTTGAGAAGGGATTACATGAGAGCACAGTAGCTCTCACGTTATAAGTGTCCAGTAAGAGGTGGCTGCTCTGACATTATAATAACAAATGCAGACAGAAGGTTGGCCCCGAGCCCCTTTCTTCGTCTAGCCTCTCAGGACCCATTTGCTTCAGGACTGCGTGCCTGTGGCCTGAGGGCCCATAACGCTGTGGCACATGATGGCCTCAGCATGAAGCCCAGCTCGGGCTGGCCTAGGGGTGTAGCCGTCCCTTTGCCCTCAGCGTGGTCACCGTTGTCATTGTCTCTTTACTACTGCCAGATTCAGGGGTTCTGCTGCCAAGGGCTCACTTTTAACTCTCCTTGAAGGAACCAGAGTTACCATTATTGGACCAACCTCAAAGAGTGGCCCACAGAAAGAGAATCAATAGGAAGCCAGTGTCCTAAACCTTCATCCATTTAGCAGAGAGAAGGTCTCCTCGTTGGAGTAGGATTGGCAAGAAATGGAACCTCTTTCTGGCTATACAAAGGAAAAAGAAGTAATTGAAACAAAAGGAAAGCTAAATGACCCAAGATTTTCCCCCTCGGTTCTCTGTGTCCTGAGACACGGAAATAGAAAGACTGGATTCCTCATTTTTGATCCTCAGTGGAAGGAAAGGAGAGAAGGATGGTAGGAAAGGGAATTCCTATGTATTGAATGTATACACTTCTTATGTAACCCTCTAGCACTGTGACGCAGGTGTTAGCAGTCACATTGGACAATCTGTTTGCTCAAGGCCACATGGCAGTATGTGGGAGAGGGAGGATTTGAACCTCTGCTCCAGCCCTGACACCCTGTGACATCTTCTCATTCAGAAGCCAGGTTTTCCATCTGTGAGGAAGAAGCTTTCTCCATTCCCACAGGAAGGGAATGTGCCCGCGACATTAGCCACACCTCCCCAGGTGACATCAAGAATGTACGGTTATGCTCACCACCATCATCATCCTCAGGCACTTAATGAACACTTACAATGGGCCAGACTCTGTGTGCAGCATCTTAACAGACTGTGTGCACTTAATCCTCACAGTAACCCTTTGGGTAGATGTTATCCCCATTCTGCTGATTTGGAAACCGGGACTTAAACCATTGAGGTAATTTTCCCTAGAAGCAGTGATTTCTGGAAAGGAACCAATCTCATTTCCAGAATTTTGCAGTTTAGCTTAAAGCAGTGATTTTCAAATTATATTTCTCCCAGCCTCACTATCTTCTACCATAAACACACACACGCACACGCACATGCACACACACACACACACACACACATGTGCGTGCACTTCCACCAGAACTGCGCTGCTTTTTTCTATTTTGTATATTAGGTTCCAGGTAAGATTTTCTCTGAACAAAGAATTCTACTGTGAAAATAATTTGAAAACTGCTGGCTTCAGGAAAGAACTCTGCACAGATTTCCCATGGATTTTAAATTTTACCTAAAGCACACAGTTGGTATGACTTCATTTCCTCCAGCTCAGGAGGGTCCCGGTGCCAGTGGTTCTGGCCTTTGCTATCTGGATTTGTCTTGAATTTGTGTTCTCCCAAAGTAGAGAACAAATTTGACCCACTGCAAAATCTGATGGGGTGTGTTGAGGTCCACTTTGAACCTCTTTGGTTGGAGGAGAAGGAGAGAGTCCCTATCGTGTTTCCTCATAGCTGCCCAAGCACTTGCCTGTGACAGATGAATTAGCTGTGTTTACAGTACAGTAATTAGATGTTCATTTTTAATAATAGTTTGTTTGCTCAGTGACCTGAGATGCATTCGTGTAGTGTAGATTATTTCCTGCTCAAATACATATTTGGAAAGATGATTATAAAATTGCCACATCAATGAATGCATTTACTTCTTTACTCCCAAAGACAGAATTAATAGTGCTTTATTTTGAGAGTGTTTTCACGTTCCATATTCATGTTCCACTTATGTTTGTGAAACAGTCTCCTGGTAACCAGTTGTAAGCTTCCATTTACAGATTCACTGCTGTTGGTTTCATTGGATTCACGTAATGAAAGACTGTGCCCTTTCCCTTACCACCCCTCCAAAAAGTACTAAAGCAAAAATTTGAACAGCCAACAAGATCTGGGCCCTTCCAGTTAGTTCCTATAAAGCAAGATGACAGGTGTGTTTTGTTTTACTATTGTAGGACTTCTTGATGGAGACATTCATCATGTTCAAGGACCTCATTGGGAAAAATGTGTATCCTGTAGACTGGATGGCCATGAGTATGGTTCAGAACAGGTGAGCTGCCACCTGCTTCCCAACAGCCCCGTCATCTCAACGCTCACTTCCCAGCACACTGGTAGGGATATAAGGTGGGGCTACTTCCTCCCTGGTGAAAACAAACTGGAGTGCAAACGGTCCTTTCTTTCTACATTTAAACCCCAGAGAACTGCTCACCAATCTTGAACTGATTTATTATTCTTCATGTGTTCTACTGAACTGACGACTCCCTATCTTCTCCATTCTTCAAATACTAGTTAAAACATACTTTGTCCATGAAGCCTTCTCTAAATTCTTGAGACAGAAGAGCTTAAAGTCAGCCTTATACAAAATAAAATACAATATAAAAATTACTTATATTATAAAAAATAAAATGTAAAAAATTATATTAAAAATATAATATAAGAATTATATTATTTTAAATATATTCAAAAAATAAAATATATTCTGTGACGTATGGTAGGATAAGTTTAGGGAGCCTGAGATTGCATATATTGAACAGCTTTCTGTGCTGCAGGACTTCTCAGAGCCTTTAAAATGCTAATGAGAGTCTCTAAGAGGAAGATTTAGATATTACATGTCACAGATTTCCTTGCTCATTGAACCATTTGGTACGCATGTATTTATGTGTATATATATAATACTTATTAACATCTCATAGAATACCAATGTAACACAAGTGTAACTCAGATCCCACATGACCCAGCACAACAATAGGTAAGAATAATTGTGAGCAATCTCAGGCTTTCATACTTTCTCTGAAATAATGTTATTTCATCAAAATGAAATTCAAGTCATAACATGCAGTAATGCTATCCAATATTTCCTTTCTCCGTTCTTTTATCTCTCAGTACCTCTCACATCCTATGGTTTACCCAAGGCTCTCTCAGAACCTTATTCTCAATTCCTACCCACAGATTTCCTTTAAAACCGGATCTTCCAGGTCCTCTCTTTTCTTTCTCTCTCTCTTTCCTTTGGCTTTGTATGTTTGTTTTAGGTCCTTTCCATGGAAAGCCCTTCACTCCACACTGGCTAGAAGTTTTCTCTCTCTCTACTAAAGTCCCTTGTTCTAGATCGCAAAAGCCAAGAATTGACTGGCAAAGATAGAAATATCCCTAGAGGGTAGAAGAAGCGGAGAAATTAAAGACACAAAGGCAGAATTCTCTTTAGCGCAAAGAAGGAAGGCTGTAAACGTACAATTAACACTTTTGTCATTGGATGCAGTCTGGGAATTTCTATCTCATGTATGCCTGAAAGCTGACTCCAGTCCCAAGTGGCCTCCATCCCTTACTCTTCTGTTCTCTAAGTGCCTAGCCAAGTGACTTTACAGACATACTTGCTCTTGGGGCCAGCTTTAGGGGCTGGTGAAGGGGAGGAGAGATTTGTCAAGACAGAAAGAGAGGTCTGTGCATCACTGCTTAGGGTGCGGAGAGGAAAATCAGCCCAGCAACAAAACATCAGAATTCTTAGCCTACGCTAACTTTGCCCCAGTTCTCCCTGTTCACATCACACAGGTGGAAGGCTGCTTGCAGTGCTTAAGGCATTGGTGGGAATTAGACCCAGGCCACATTATGGATGAGAGGCAGGTCTCTTCCTGCACATACAACCTATGTGATTGCAGGGGACCCTACACTCTAAAGGACTCTGCTGTCACAATCGTGAAATTCTTAAAAATTTTTGGACAATTTTTACATTTTCATTGTACACTAAGCTCAACAAATTATGTTGCTGGCTGTATCTCACTTCAATGTCCAGTCATCTTGTGTTTGGAAGAAGCCAAACTGCATGTGAATCCTTTCACTGTTTGCCAGCTGGTCAATAATGTCTTGGGGGTTTGCCAAATCACATGAAGCACCCAGATGAGTCATCTTCGACTCACCCTACGTTTCAGATACACTCAACTATCCACTGCTACCTACCGTTTCAGACTTCTATGGCTGTGTAAACTATGGCTCTCCTCCTTTCTAGACAAAACTCGACACAAAAGCATCCTTCAAATTCTTGACCATGTGATTTCTCCTTTGTGGATCCTTCTAGGACTCTTTTATGGTAGGAGAATACGTTCCCTCCTCTTTGTTTACAGACATGCTCATAATATAACACTTACCCCATGGACTATAATCATCTCTTCATATGACTGTTTCTGCCACAAGAGGATGGGCTTCTTGAAGGCAAACACTACGTCCAATTTATCTCTGTGTTTCTGATTCCTGGCATAGAGCCTCACATTCATAAACACATGTAATGAACTCTGTATATCCAGTGGGCACTTATTAATTAGGATTTGTAAAGAAATTCAATTCAAATTTGCCTAAACAGAAAGAGAACTTATTGATTCAGACAACCGAAAGAGCCCAGAGTTTATGGCTTCAGGCATGGATGTATCTAGGTGCTCAAACAGTGTTGTAGGGAATCTGTATCTCTGCCTTTGCTCTTTTCTCTGTTGGCTTCATTCTTAGGTAGATGCTCTCTTTGCAATGGAAAATCGGCTGTGGAAGTTCCAGATACATGTCTTGTTGGATTAGCAACCTCAACAGAAAGAAAAAGTCTCTTCTTCAATAGTTACAGCAAAATTCCCTAGACTGATCTTCAAAGGTCTGACTTGAGCCACATGCCCATCCATAAACCTCTGTGACCAGGAGAATGAAATATGCTGTTTCATCAGGCTTGAGTCATATGACCCTCCTTTGGAACTGGGGAGGCTGTGGTTCGTTCTACTTAAACCATAAAGTCTGAACACAAAGTGGGAGGTTGGGGAGTAATTCTTCAAAGGGAAATCTGGGACTCACTACCAGAAGGAGAAGTGGATGATGGACAGGCAAATAAATGCACAGACACCCACCACTGTTGCAGAGTATTAGCCCATTTAATCTTTGCAACTTCATGATGTAGAACCGTTGTAATCCACGTTTCATACATGAGGAAACTGAAGAGCAGAGCAGATAAGTCACTTAGTGTGGCACTGTGAATAAAGAACACATAAGCCAGGCAATCAGAGACTGTGTTCTTACACTCTACTGCTTCATCCTGTAAAATAGTGAGGCTTGTATTATTAAGTGTGTTGTAAGGATGCGCCAACTGCACATTTATTGGCTCAGGTAACTTAAAGAGGCCCGAAGTCATACAGCTAGTTAGTGAAAGATTTCAGCATAAACTGGAGAAACGGAACATACACCACGGTTTAGCCCAGATCAGTATATCCATGAATTTCATTTCCTTTTCTTTAAAAATATGCGGCCTAAGCTCCATTCATTCACGTGACCAAGGCGAACTTCATATGTTGGCTAGTCTATACGTTACAACATCTTTCTTTCTTCTTTTTTTTTTCTTTTCTTTCCTTCCTTCCTTCCCTATTGTTTATATATTAGTATGATGTTTCTGTTTTTATAACTGCCCTGTTATCATTATTAGTTCTGCACATATGTATGGCTGGATTAGTCATGTATAATTTATTTATCTCCTTGTTGGAGGACGGAATGGAGCCTGCCAGATTTTGAATGTCTCCTCAGCTGTGTGCTGTTTGTGTATGCAGACATAGTGACATGTCTACTGCAAGAAACACCTCCTCTTACAGCATTTTTCTTTTTGCAACATTCAGTAAGATCTGATTTATAGGACATGGTTCATGATCAAGTTCTTTGTAATATTTTGAATGAACAGCGTATGCCTAGGAACCTCTTTTCCCCTCCTCTATCTGCACCCTGGTCTGGAAATCCAACATTGTGGGTGGGGGCGGGGGCGGGTGGCGGTTGGGGATTTACACACATCTTTAAAGCTTCTCTGAATGGAATCAATCAGCACATGCTTACTGAGTGTCCTGGGCATCCCTGGCTCTAGGGAGTGGACAGGCCCATCTCCGCCCTGGTCCCAGAGGGCAGGGGGCTTACAGTCTCATTGGTGAGACAGTAAATATGCCCATCGAAATAGGACTGAGTGCCGCAGTCACCGTGATGCGTTCAGAGTACACAGAGGGCCCAGAGAAGTTAGGATTTACAACTGTCTCTGTTCAAATCCAGCCTCCACCCTTTAATACTTATGTGACCTTAGGCAAAGCTGCTTAACCACTCTGGACTCCGTTTTTCTCACTGTCAAATCAAGCTGATAATAGTATCTATCACAATGGATTTTTGTGAGGACCAAAATGAAATTATGTGTCTAAGGTAGCTTCAGAATTGCATGTGGCGTGCAGCAGGCATTTCGTAAATGTTGGCTATTATTTTTGCTTTCATGTTCCTATGATCTGGGAATATCCAAAATATGTCGCAGAAGAGGCGCATGTGGGCTGGATCTTGTCTACCTTATCAGTGACGTATTTCGAGGTCTGACGTTGGCTCCAGCACATCCTGGGCCCACAGCAGGGTCACAAGAGTTGACCCCAGGACGTCGAGCAGGGCGGTGCTCAGCATTCCGCTGGCGGCTCCATCAGTGTGCTGGCAATCATAGAGGCCCCCTCCCCCCTCCTCCTACCTGCACTGATTTGTCCCGATGGCTTCCTTTCTGTGGACGCCCCCTTCCTCCAAAACGTCACCTACAAGGAGGCCTCTCCATGGGTTTTTTTTTTTTTAGCCAGCACAACACATGTAATCCTGATGTCCCCCTGGCCACAGGATTCCAATCCTGGGCCTGCTGCATCCCTGAATGGAATCCCAAATCACTGAGGAAGTGTCAGGGGCACCTCGGACGGTGGGGGGTGGGTACTGAGCCCTGACCCTGAGCTGGAATCCTCTGATTCACTCTAGCCTCTTGGTGCTTGGAGTGACTGTGGGCTGTGAGGGAAGCGAGTTAAAGGCTCTGGGAGAATGGCTCCCTCACTGCTCCTGGGGGAGGAACAAGGACCCCCTTCTCCTGGCCAGCTCTTTCATTTCCATGTTCAAGTTTTGACCAGTAGACTCAACTACATCCCATGAACCACAGCGGGAAGGGGCATGGGATTCAGGGAGGCCTCCCCCTGCCTTGGGCATTCTCACCGCAAAGGGCGTGCCCACCTCCAGCCCTTCTCTTTTATTCACATCGTGCCGCCTGTCCGCTTGGGTTGCTGGTACACTGGAGTGTTCTCACTGTGGGGTCCTCCTGCCTCAGAGCGGCAGGGTGGCTGGGCAGTTAAGGATAATGGTAACAACACGACTGCCATTTATTACGGACCCCTGTGTACTGAGTGAGGCCCTGGGCCACCGACCTCCTGCACTGCATGCCATTTCTTCTTCACACACGGCTCCTCTTACAGACGAGGCAGCTGAGGTTCCCAGAGGTGAAGCAGCCAGCCCAAAGCCACAGCATGGAAGAGGAGCGGAGTGGGCATCTGCCCCCAGGCAGGCTGCTCCAGCACCTGCAGGAGTCTGTGCGCACCTTGCATGTCTGCATCTGGTCCCAGCACTAATGCATATGGTGTGTTTAGGCTTATTCGGGAGACAAAGCACAGGGACTCTCGGTTGCCTCTAGTAACGAGAATTTGTTCTGTTACGTGAGGGGAAGGAGGACGCTGTTACCTGGTCCAGCGGCTGCGGTGAGGTTTCATGTGGAGCAGTTTTCAGGATGCCAGCCTCGGGTTTGGCTCCTCTTTCTGCCAGCTTCTCCCTGCCCGCAGCGGCTGACTTCTCTTACACATGGCTTCTGCTTCCGCACGGAATTACCTGCTCACGGCCCAGGTTCATTGCATTCCTGGACTCCCTGGATGTCCTGCTTTTGAACTGCCTAAAAGGATTTGATCTACTACTATCTGGCTTGGGGGCCCTGGCTGGTACCCATGCGATCACCCCCAGGCTGCTGGCCAGCCCACAGAAGACTGCCTGAGTCAAGCTTTGGTCCTGGGCCCAGTCAGCTGTGTGCAGGGCAGCAGGATGATGGGGACTAGGTGGGAAGGGGCTGCGTGCCTGGTGGGGGGCGTGAGTAGGAGCATGCCCAGTGCCAGAAGACCATGCAGGCTGGCCTTCAGGGGAGCCTGTGTATCTTTCTGGTTAATTGCAAAGGCTTTAGAGAAAGACAAACCTGAGGCTGGGTCTGGACTCTGCTGCTTGTTAGCTGTGTGAAGGTGGGGGAGATTTTTGGTCTTTCCAGTGCTCAGTTTCCTCTCCTGTTAAGTGCGTGTAACAGTAGCACCCACCTCAGTTTGTAGGGTTAAATGAAACAGTGTCCGTGCAGCGCTTTGCACAGGACATAGGAATGAAAACTATGAGACTTCCACTGTTGCCTTATTATTAATAGGGTGAGCTCACTGCTTGGATTGAACAGCATAACAGAGATTTCCTTGTGGGCAGAAGAGTATGATGGTTAAATTCCAAGGTCCTGAAGGCAGCATAGCTTTGTTTAATCCTGGCTCCATATGTATTGGCTGGATTCTTGGGGGAAGTTACCCAAACTCACATCTGTAAAATGAAAACAGTATCTAACTCAAAGGGTTAATGTGAGAATTAAGAAAAAGAAAAAGAAAAAAACAGAAAGAATCCGTGCAGAGTACTTAGCACAGAGCCTGGCCCATCACTGGTAACTGTGTCTGTGGTTATTAACTGATTTTTTAGAGTCTGCTGAACATCATGGATGAAATGCAGGAAATGTTAGGTTGAGATTTGATCCTGAACTTGTTTCCAAGTTCGTTTCTGAGAGTAACAGAAAGAGTTGAGTGTGTTTTCGTTCCAACCCACTTCACCATATTAGTCCTTAAGCTTTAAGTACAATTATTTTCTTTGAGAGAATACAAAAGACAAACTTTTCCAAATCCATACATGGGAAACCAAATTTAAGTGGCATTCTGCTTCTCAGAGGGTGGCTGCAGGGGAATCCAGAGAGAAGGGGAGGGACTTTGACTCACTGTCTCCCAGCCCTCATCTGCCACCAGCCCCGACCATCAGCACAGGGGGCTCATTAGTTAATTTCTGGTTCTTGGACCGGCCTTTGCGAACCAGAGACAGGTTTTGGTTGACAATCAAAATAATGACTGTCACTGAATCTTCTGATAGCTTTGTCGCTGCTGAGAAAACGTGTAAGACCCCTCATTTTCATATCGTATTAGACAGTCTGAGATGTTTGTACATAATGTGACAGCCACTCAGTGCATTTCCATCTGGGGAATCAGACACTCCTCTTCAAGGAGAAAATATCAATGTTTTTTCAAAGACATAGTAGCAAATGACAGAATAACAAAACCAGAGGAATCTCACTTTTTTGGCAGCCTGATGGGGTGGAGGGTTTTGTGGGGTTTTTATTGCCCGTCTTTACATGGTCCTGCTTCCCTTGGAACTGGTTGACGACTGGAACTTGTCCTCTGACTGTCCTATTTTGCTTTGGAAGAAGAATGAAGCAACCCGAAGGAGTCTGAGCGGCCATAGCCACCGTGTCACTGTTGTCACTGTGCGTCAAGCACTGTGCTCAGCACTTACCGTGCATTTAAAGGTGGCATTAAACCCTGCAGCCACCCTGCGAGAGGGGTGGCATTGCTGCTGTTTCACAAGCAAGGAAACGTAGATGTCAAGCATATTAACATGTCTGAAACCCACACACCTGGGACGTGGCAAAGCCAGAAGTCATATCCAGTTGTGTGTGTGTATGTGTGTGTGCAACAAATCTTGTGATCCCAATACCTGAATGCACTACCTTCTTTGTTAACATTTAAATGTTTAATGAACACCAGTCCAGGTTCCTTACAAGCGATGCCCGATGTAGCACATGTGTGTTTGTCCTCACACTCGTGGCCCACCCGAAATATACCTGCAGCTTTGGGGAACATTTCCGATGCGTCCTGAGAGCTTCCTATTTCTTTCACTCTCTGGGCTTTCTCTGGCTTCAGGAGAGCGCTCAGCCTACCTGCAGGGCTGGCCAGAGGTGCTAGGGACTTCATGTCCACAGGAGCAACTTTCAGCCTGTGAGGAGCTGGCATTGTTGGGTAAATAGCTCGGGACCCTTCTGATGCTCAAGTATGTTCGATGCAGTCTCTCAGAAGTTGCCAAGCAAAGTGGAGTCCTAGTTACCACCCAAAGCAATAAAAATAACCTCCTATATAAACACTTCCTTTTACTGGCTTCCCATTGGTAGCCAAATAGACATTTTTCCCTGGACCAGTCACTCAATAGAGGAATTATTGATTGTCCGCCGTTAATTACAAATTGTAGACAGTGGTACAGGTAAGATCTGGCCTTTGCTCTCTCAGATTTTACAAGCAGGCACACGCGCACACACACACACGCACGCACACTGAGACTTGGCCACAGTTGGGCATATAGCTGTCAGGAGGTGATAGCAAAAATCCAGGAGAGAAATCATGATGGCTTGTTGCGGGTCAGTGGCAGTGGAAGATGAGAAGTAGTTGAATTTGGATATCTTCTGAAAGTAATGCTACGAGGTTTTGCCGACGGGTCGTGTGTAGGATATGAGAGAAAGAGGATAGTCATGGATGCTGCCAAAGTCTCCCAACCCCTGAGCAATGGGAAGAATGGAGTTGTTCTTAATTGAGACGGGAAGACAACGGGAAGAGGGCAGATAATAGGAGCAGACTTTTTGACATGTATGTTTGAGGTGCCTGTTAGTTATCCAAGCGCGGGTATAGAGCAGAGAGCTGGAATGCAAGCTGGAGCTCAGAGGACAGGCCAGGAGTAAGATATAAAATTTGGGAGTCAAAGGCGTGTCGATTGGAGAGTAGATGAGATCATGGAGGGAGTCTCTGAATTCAGAAAAGGACAGTCTAGGGCGGGAGACAGTCATTAATGAGTCACACAAATAAATCACCGTAGACCATGATGAACTCTGAGAAAGGCAATTGCACTGACCATCCTCTGGGAGACACAAAGATGCAGCAGATCCTGTCCTAAAGAGATTAGAAGGAGGGGGCGTTCTACACAAGGGAAGAACACGGCTCAGCACTCAGAAAACAACCAGAAGCACAGAGCAATAGTGAGAAGTGAGTCTGGCGACGAAGGTGGGGTCCAATCACAGGGGCCATTGACTGTCAAGAGAAAGAGTTTGGACTCATCCTATGGGCAGTGGGGGGCCCCTGAAGTGAGCGATGGGCATGATTGGAACTGTCCCGTAGGACAAGGCACTCTGGAGGTTGAGAGGGCAAGAGAGAGGGGGCTGCAGGACCAGTCAGCAGGGAGGAAGGAGAGGAGGAGGTGGAGAAGGAAGAAACGTAATTTGACACCAGATATTGAACTGTTCAATCTGCATAGCATTTGATCAGCATCACTGCTTCGAGGAGAAGACCGAGGAAGCGTGTCTACGGGAGGTGCATGGAAGAGGGATCATTAAACCACTGTTTATAACAGAAAACGCTGAGAAACAACATAAAGGTCCATCAATAAAAGACTGATTAAATAAACTGTGAGACGGGCATTCAGTGGAATGCCCTGTAATTAAAAGGGATGATATATATCTGAGTTCATTGGCATGAAAGGAACACAATTTACTATTGAGTGAAAAAGACAGGCTGTGAAGCAGAATTTATCATTTAACCCCCATTTATCAAAATGATATTTTAAAAATATTGTTCTTGTATGTACATCTAGGGAGACATTTGAAATCATGTTCATCAGAATGTCAATATGGTTTTCCCTAGATGGTAGGATTGGTGGTCTGTTTGTTTGTTGTTTTTTTGTTCGTTTGATTTGAGAGGAGGCAATTTTTCTTTCTGTCTTTCCGCATGGCATGAATTTTCTGCCCTAAGCTTCTCATAGTTTAAACCAAAACAGAGTATCATTTTTCTAAAGGAAGTCAAACAGACAGAGCAGGGCAAATGTGGCCCCAGGTCTACAGTGTGAGCAGGTGTTAATGTGGGTCAGCCGACATCTCCTTGGGTCTTTGGGACGCTGCCTGCGGGAACTTGGATCTGGAGCATGGGGGAGGGCTGTCTGGGGCAGAGTGCTCAGATGGCCTGCCGACCTTCTCCCCTCTTCTCTTCCAGGGTCTTCCTGAGAGCTATCAACAAGTTTGCAGAAACCATGAACCAGAAGTTCCTGGAAAACACGAACTTTGAGTTTCAGGTGAGTGTGAGGCAGCAGAGTTGCCCTTGGAGTGCCCTGGCAGGGCTGCACCGGCATCCTGGGCTGATTGCTCCACCAGACACATCCCAAAGCACCCGGAAGGTGTGCCTGTGTCTCTGGGGGTTTGCACAGAGCAGTGGCAGCGGGGAGGGAAGTACTCAGAGTTTGGAACCAGGCCCTTGATTAGATAGTCATCAACTGAGCAGCATATGCAAATGTGACTGTATAATGTGTCTTGTACTGAAGAGGAGACGTGTTCATTCCTTGTCAGAATGGGTGCCGCCTTTTAAAAATATGTCACATTTTTTAACTTATCTATTCACTGGAACCTAGAAAAGTAGCCATTCTTAGGTACTGAGAGAGAAAGCTCACTAGTACATTTCTGTGACTTTATGATTCCTCCAGAAGGCAGACAAGACCTGGGACCTCTGTGAGATTCAGGGGCACCAAAGCGTGTTCCTGGGGCAAACAGAGAGATGCATCTGCTCAAGGTCCAGGCAAGAAGAACCAACACTTCAGAGCCTTGTGGACAAGCTCAGGTTGCTACCTCTGGCAGGGGGTATAAGAGAGAAGACCCTTAAAAGGGGATCCCCCGCTCCAGGGAAGCCCCTGACCCCAGGATCTCTGGCAGCACAAGCTGAGGGCGCAGCCAGTGAACTGGGGCAACGCCCGGGGTGTTCGGTCCCTGTCTGGGCTTTGGCCTCTGACCAGGCGAGCACCCCTAGACGAGGGCTGGACTGAACCCGTGCCTCAGCTGACTCTGCTGTAAAATGCTCACAACACCTCCTGTTGCTACTTTGTAGGATTTTTCCAGAGCCGGAATGTGCCAAGGCACTTGCTGGGGGAATTCACTTATAAGGTCCCAACGGTTTCCATTCAAATACTTCCTCCAGCAAGAGGCCCCCCTGCCTGACTCCTCTCTGAAGGGCCCCCTGCAGCCCCAGGCTCACTACGTACCACCACGTAGCCTGCCCTGGCCTCTTGGTTGCGTCCTGTGCCGTCTCTCCCGTTTGTCTGTGTGCAACTCTCTCTCTTTCCTCTGGTAGAAGGTGAGCTCAGGGAGTGCGAAGACCTCGTTTTCGCAGGGGTGTGCCCTGTGCCCGGACACAGTGGGTCTCCCTGGGGAGGTCACGCCTGGGCTGAGGTCTGTGAGGTCCGCTCTGCTGGGGAGCACCAGCCTCTTAAGTCCTTAATAATCGTCATCTTTGAATAAGATTCTCTCCCACTACCTTGCATTTCAATCAGGCAGCTGAACCATAGCGATAATGATGATAAAAGGAAAGGCTGCCTCTTTCTGATGGCGTTACACGTGCAGATCTCGCGAGAAGCTCCTCATGCCTTCTCTTTCCCAGTCCTTACAGCTTCCCTGCGAGTTAGTTATTATGACTACTGTTTTCGCTGCTGGTGGGAGGCAGGCTCCAGGACTCTCAAGCGCTGAGCAGGCAGCCTGCAGTCACACAGCAGGTCAGGGCAGAGGTGGGACAAAAGCAGAGCAGTTTCTGGCACCAAACCCCGCAGACCCTCGCGGCCACACGCTGGAGATGGAGCTTCACCACCGCACTGGGTTGACCATTTGGCAGGGTCTGGGTGAGAGTTATAAATCTTTGACGTGGAAACAAAACATGTCACTCTGGCTGTTTGAATCAGAAGTGTTTGATCCCCTTCCAAATGCAGCCCAGATGCCTGCAGGCTCCTGTTGCTAGTACAATCGGGGGAGTTATTAAGGCCATTGCTTTTCTGGAGGGGCAGCTTGGAACAGCACACCTAAGGGCTGGTGACAGGGCAGTGTTTGGGCCATAAAACTGTTGGCTGGTTTGTTCATCTCTTTCCGTGGGCGTAGGCAGTTATACCCTGGAATCTGCTTTCCTGACTCTGGCTCTCCTCATGGTCTTAGAGGGGTACTTTCCTAGAGAAGCTCAGCTTCCTTCCTTCATGCCATTCTTTTAGGTTTTACACAGTTTTCCTGAAAGAAAATCTGCATCTGAGAACTGCCCAGAGAAGTGGGGGCTTCATACATGGAAGGAGGGCTGTGTGACTTTAGGCAAATTACTTTACCTCTCTGTGCCTCAATTTCCTTAACATCAAATTATGACATTAATAGTAGCTACCTTATTGGATTGTTGAGAGGATAAAGTCAATTAATTCATGTAAGACATACAGAACAGTGCCAGGAACATGGTAGCTATTTAATAAATGTTAGCTCATTATAATTATAATAATTATCATTTTGATGATGATGATGGTTCTAAATGTGTCAGGTCTGGGAACTCATATGTCAGTCCTCAACCAACAGGACAGTAAAGAGGCATCTTTATGGTCACGGAACATTGCCTAAGGCTGTCCACACCCATGAGATTTTGTAAAATGGGAAAGTGGCCAACATTACAAAATGCAATAAGTCTCTTTTGCTAATGAAACTTCTATAGGTATTTATTGGGAAGTACTCAAGAACACAGTCATTTTTCAGCCTTCTCTTTGTTCTCCTACCTTCTCCTCACTTGTGTGAGAATGGATTTGTTCTCTGTACCCTGCCTGGAACACGCCTTGTTTCCTTCTTATGGTGTCATTAATTATGCATTTAATATCAGCGGGAACAGCATCCATCACTAAGCGCAGCTGGCCGTGGCAGCTGCTGTCCAGAGCAGGGGCAGCTGCAATGAGATTAGCCCTAATATCTTTTCCAGAACCGATTCAAAGGGCAAAAAGCAAGAAGCTCTGTGGGTGCCTCTCTGTAGAGGGCAAGACCTGGGAATTACAAAAGTGATGTTTCCTGCTTGGGGCCAAAATAATTTGCATTCTCAGGCCCTATTCGGGATGCTGGGCCTTGACACTCACCTCTGTTTGCATGGTCAGGGAAGACCAAGAGAGGATTTCGAATTTAACTCAGCGAGAATGTTTGTTTTAGAGCAGTTCTCACCAGTCCAGGCTATTGCAGCGTGTCTCGGGAAATTTATATGCAAAGCAGAGCACTGCCCTCCCCTCAGGGATCTTGCAGTCTCAGTAGTAGGCCGTAAATCCATCTTCTAGAATCCATGCTTTTGAAGAAGGTAATTAACCTTTGTTAGACGTCTACTTAGGGCATTTTGGTCCTTACCATCAATAACCCTGTTAGGTTGGGGTATACCCATTTTACTGGTGAATAAACTGAGCTTCAGAGAAGTGGTTGACTTTCTTGTTAAAGGTCATCTAATGACTAGGTAGAGCTGCTGGGATTCAACCTCAGGACTGTGCAAAGCCCAGGCTCTTTCCACACTTCTGCACTGTCTCTTAGAAACAAGGTTCCTTTCAGATGTAGGAGATAACTCTGTGTAGCCCCAGAAACACTGTCTGCCCTCGTTAGCTCTCGCTGGCCCTGTGCTAGAGAGCTCTACTATGACTGGCTGTGGACTGGACTCTCCACGTTGGAATCTTTGATTGGTCCAGGAATCAGTGGTTGCACTTCATATGTGCTCTTCGGCTCTGGGTAAATTGTTTCCGTCTTAGGCACCTGTTGCTACTAAGCTCATTCTCTCGACTTGGGAAGCTCTAGTTGGCTGTGCCTTTGGTAATCCCAGCCTTGGCCTTGAGGCATTTCTGGATCAGCTTCTGGGTACCAGCCACTTTGGGATCACTTTTGAACCTGTACCAGAGACCCTGTGAAATGAAAATCTTCCAGAATATTCCCAGCCAATGGTGGAGGAATGAGGGCAGACTTGGTCTTTATAATGGGAAATATAACCAGTGTTGGCAAAAAAAAAAAAAAAAGAAAGAAAAGGTGAGTGGAGTACAGACACAGAGAGAGAGAGAGAGCACTTACTGAAGACTTAAAGAGGCCCAGAGCACTGCCCGCAGGGAGGCTCATGGTGGGACACCACCACCAGGCAAAAAGATGGTCATGTGCTTGCAGGGAGCTTCTGCAGCCCTGCCTGCTTCAGCCTCAGGGCCCCAGCCAGCCTGTGGCCTGATGGTCCCAAACTGAACTCATAATTGGAACTTTCACTCCTAGAATCAATGGCATCGTCAGAATGGCCATGACAGCTGTGTCTGCCCCACAGAGGAGGGTACACTGACTGCATTTCAGCAACCCTGGGCATTGGATTTTTTTTTTATATCAGAATTTGGGGTAAATAATAATAATTCAAGGCCATTGAGAAAGAATCTCATAGGATCAAACATTCTTGATGTCTGTGCTGTCAGGACATCTGGTGAACCAGTGGAAATCTCAACTAACTACAAAGGCTAACAGAAACCGAGAAAGGAGTAGAAGAGCGATTTTGGCAGAAGAGCAGAGTGGGGTAAAGAATACAAGTTCTGGAGAGAGAGAGACACTTGGGTTCAAACACCAGCATCACCATTTTGTAGCTGTGTGACATGGGCAAGTTGTTCAGCCTCTCTGGGCCTCAGTTTCCTGATCTCTAAAATGGGGAGAATCATAATACAAATCTCATAGTTTCTGGGGAGGATTTAACAAGAAAACCTGCAGAGTACTGGGCTCATTAATGAACTCATTCAACAAATGTTTCCTGAGCACATGCTGGGCTAGACACAATGCTAGACATGGGGCACACAACAGTGAATAAAAAGATGAGGTTCTTGCCTGCATGATGCTTGCATCCAGTAAAGGAGACAGAAAATAAATTAGCTCTGCTTAAAACGTGTCATGAATCCTGTAAACAGGGTGTAATGAGGATGAATAATGGGCAGATCGACTTTAGTCCAGGCAAGCCGGGAAGGCTTCCCCAGGAAATAAGTTTTGAGCTGAGATCACAAGACTGAGCAGGAATTTACTAGGTAGCAATTTCCTCAGTTAGTCCTTATAACTACTCCCTTTCGATACTGCCTAAAGAATCAGAGAGGTAGGGTCACTTGCCTGCAACAATGCAGCCGGTAATTGGTTTGGAATCCTGGAAGGCAACCTGACAGCATCTATCAAAACAATCAACAAAGATAACAAACAAACAAACAATAACCAAATCTGCTGGGGCCCCGTGCCTTAGCCGTGCCACCTCTAGGAACGTGTATGGCATGACAGGCTCTCATGCATGAAGATGGGTAAACAAGATGTTGATTACAGCACCGAAGCTAGAGAAGGAAAAAGTTGGAGTCAAGCTTAATGACTATAAATAGGGAATTGGTTCAAATTAAAGTACATTCTTAGAGCAGGAGATCGTGCAGCCATAAAAGAGAATGAAGCGGACTTGTATATGCTAATGTGGAGACATCTGCAATAAATAATGATGAAAGAAAGAAGCAAAGTACAGCAGACTATTTAAAAAAAAAGATGCCCATACATATGTTTGTTTACACATAAAAATTTTTGGAAGGATATTCAGGAAATTGTTAGCAACATCTTCTTCTGGGAAATTAGACTCAGGTCCAAGGTAGGCTGGAAAGTAACTTCTTTTCATTATTTAATCTTTCCTACCATGTAATTCTTTACTGTGTGCATATGACGTTTATGATTTTTGAGCCTTAATTAAAAATAGCTAAATTCTAGTTACACCCACCAGCAGTATGACTGGGCGGTCATTTAATTTATCTGGACCTCGCTGTTTACTTCTGTGAAGTAATAGTTAGGCCATATGAACCTTAAATTTATTGCAGCTTTCACCTTCTATTGTCTTGTGATTTCAAAATATTAAATTCCCAATCAGAAATCACCTCTTCTCCCTGGGGAAAAGGGACCTGTGTGTTTTGCTCAAGACCCTGTGGCTTCTCTGAGCAGCTAAGCTGGGCTCTTAGTAATTTGCCACCAGGCAGCTCGGGGCAGGGAGGAAAGAAAAATCTGGGGCCTTTGGAAACAGCTGGGGAATTTCTATAACAAAATGGTGATCGATAAACAGATATTTTCTGGAGCCCAGCTATATTCAAGCCATTGTGCTCGATTCGCCATAAGGGACACAAATAAATGGAAGACAGGACCCTTGTTACTCATGGAACTTACAACTGGAAAAGCCTGCAAAGACTCTACAACCAGCACTGTGGCCAGCATCATCGCTCCTTCTACTGAGCGCTTGGCAGGTGGATGCCTTCATGCTCATGTTGTTTCATCCAGCATTGACAATAGTCCTCTGTGGTGGTCACCGTTATGTCACAAGTAGGGAAAATGAGGCTCAGAAAGGTCAAACACCAGCCAGAGGCAGCCCAGCTAGCCAGAGAGAGCTGGTGTCCAGACCGTAGTCTGTGAGACGCTGGTGCCTGCGCTCTTAACCCCAGGATGGTAGTGTCATGGGAAGAAGTGAATGACAAGGTCAGGTGCACAACAGTGGACCCACGCCTGTGGCTGCACCTACCAGGTGCTACTCAGATCTGGAGGGGTGGAGCAGTCCTGACGTGCTCTGCCTTCTGGGAAGGCCTCGTGAAGGAAGTGAGTCTTGAACTGGGCTCTGATGGAAGGATGGGGCTTAAATGCTGCAGGTGTGAGAAGCCCTGGGAGCAAAGCCGAGGAGGTCAAGATGCTCATGTTCTGTCTGTGAGTCTGAGCAGACCACCCCGCCCCTCCCCTGGAACAGGCAGCTCGCTGAGGGAGAGAACGCTAGAAATTGCCTGAAAAGCCAGGTTAGTTCATTTGGTTCTGATTCTTCAGGAGCAAGAGGCGGAGGCTTCGTGAGTGCCCAGCGGGGTCTAGTTGTGGCCACTGCTCAGCTCGCTGGCCTTGCACGGAGCCGCTGACCTTGAGGGCCCTCCCTCGGTTCCAAAGTCGGCCCCGCAGAGCCCCGAGGGCAGAGCTGGGCAGGGGCTGTGGGTGAGATGCTTAGGGGCACCATTTCTGGTCCACTGAGAACAAGAAGCGCTGCATCTGTGGTCTCATGGTCCACAAAGATCTTCAAGCAGGGAAGTCAAAAGAAAATTAGGTCTCCTCTTTAAGTACATACCCAAGAGAGTTGTAAACATACGTCCACACAAAAAGGTGTATGTAGATGTTCAGAGCAGCATTATCTGTAGTAGCCAAAAGGTGGAAGCAACTCATATGTCCATCATGGATAAACACAATGTGGTTTATCCGTAAATATTTATATCCAGAACAGTATTCATGAATAAACAGGAGGAAGCACTGACACCTGGGACAATATGGATGAACCTTGAAAACATCATGCTTGGTGAAAGGAGCCAGACATGAAAGGTCACATCTTTTACGATTCCATTTCTACGAAATGTCGGAAGAGGCAAATCCGCAGAGACAGAAGTAGCTTTGTGACTGCCAGGGGCTGAGGGTGGGAAGAATGCGAGAGACTGCTAATAGGCAGGTTCCTTTTAGGGTGATAAAAATGTTCTAGAATTAAGTAGTAGTGGATTAGTTACTACCTTGTGAATATACTAAAACCCACTAAACTATATGCTTTAAAAGTTAGTGTTATGTGAATTATATCTCATTTTTTAAAAAAGAAAATCAGGAATGGGGTAACAGTAAACATCTTTGAAGGACTAAGTCAAATGGAATAGAGGCTGGCAAGAAGCTGAGCTCGATCTGACATGTCTATGTGTTTGCAAACATGTTTGGGGGATATTTCTAGAGTTGTTCTCAAAAGTGACAGTCATTCAACTTACTTTGTCATATGTCTATTCCCTGTTGTATCCTGATTAATCTTATTTCATTCCCCAAATTCAGGAATTTTTTTTACCCTAAAAATAACCCTTTCCATGTCCTTTGACCAGGTTTTCCCTTTACTTGGCTGCTTGTTTCTATCCTGGTCTTAAAGAGGAGGAGGTGTGGGCTCTGGGCTTACACAGACCAAAGCAGCACATTTCCAGGACCTGCAGGTCATGGGGTCTCCAGGAGGAAGGACAGTCCGAATGGCCAGGAGACAACCTGACCTGCACTGTGTGTTTGGATAAGCGAGGTTACTATGGAAACAGAAGAGCTTGAGATCTGATTCTAAGGGTGATGGAAAGCCTTCGGAGGACTTTGAGGAAGGGAGTGATAGAATCCGATCCTTTTGGGCTCTGTGTGCTGTGTTGGTTTTACGGGGACCACAAGCCAGGAGGCTACTTCACTGCACCCTGGGAGAGACTTGGTCTTTTGTATGCTGGGAGATGAAGTTTCAAGTAAAGAAGGAACACGCATTCTCCCTCAACAGAACATGGGCTGCATGAGGGCAGGGACTGCTGTCTGTGTAACCACTGCCCTGTCCCCACACGATGACAATGCCTGGCCCATAGAAGATGTTCAGTAAATACATGTTAATGCATCCTCAGCTAAAGACTGACCGTGGTGTGTAGAAAGAGCCCTGAATGTCAATCAGTACGCATGGGTTTAAAATCCCAGCTCTGCTGTGGGTATAACAAGCTGAGTGAAATACTTAACTCCTCCAAGCCTCAGTCTCCTCATCTGTAAAATGGGGCTAATAATAGCTGCCAAGTTTTGAGAGATGAAAGGAGGAATGTATGGGAAAGTGCCTGCCCCGTGGTAAAATGAAGGGCTTGTTTTGCTTCTTTCTGAAACTGGAACCACAAGCCCGTTGGAAAGTAATACTCTGGGCAGCAGTAAAGACATTATCAAGGGCAGGGCTGCCTTTTACTTGGCCATCTGAAACCTCCCATGAACATCTTTGAGTGAAGGATGAAAGTCTCTCGACAAGTGATTTGTCTAGCCAGCGTTACCCCTTCTCTTGCTATTCAGTGTTGAGAGGGGGCTGCAAGTAGATGGGCTTTGTCCAGCAAAGCTGTCCTCCACTTGCTCCTGGTAGGGCCGCGGCATCTTGTAATAATGGCCCTTAAGCACTAGAGGTGCCAGGTTGTATGTACTGTTTGCTTTGGTGCCAAAGGAGTCAATGATGAAAAGAATAATGAGGTTGACCAGTGCTCTGGGGCTCTGAGATTCATGCCCTTTAAACACATCACCTTTACTGCAGCCCTCTGCAGTGGATATAGAGGGTACCCCTTTTGCAGGTGGCTTCACTGAGGCTCAACAATACCTTGGTTTGGGTCTCCATCTCTCAGGTTCTGTAGCCTGTGTCAGTATCACTGTCACTGCTGCTAATTTGGGGGGCACTAGCCCTGCACTGCACACTTTGCTGATTCTGTTCACCAGGAGCAGGTCCAGTGGGTTCTGGTATCAGTCTCTGCATTTAGCATCAAGAGATCGTGTAAATGTTAAAATTATGACAAGCCTACCCATAAACTGAACTGAGCACCAGAATCACCCAGAGTGCTTGTGAACACACAGATTTCTTGGCTTTGATTCAGTAAGTCAGGGGTGGGGCCAGAGATGTTGCTTTTCTAACAAGTTCCCAGGAGATGCTGATGCTTCTTGTCCAGGGCCACACTTTGAAACCATCGAACTAAAGGGAAGAAGGAAGCAAAATATTCTAGCACTGAACAGGTTGCAGGCTGGTCCTCGGAGCTGTCGGGTGAATTAGGGAGGACTTCCAGAGAGGCTGAGCGTCTCTTCAATACTTACTCCTCATCACCCTGTAATTCTAGGGCAGAGAACCAACTCATCAGGGCACCCAGCTGGGGCGAGTTATTTGTCTTTCAAACAAAACCAAAATGAAGCAAAACAACAACAATAAAAAAAAGCAGCCCTAAAATCTTCCTCCTTGCCTAAATCCCGTTGTCAGAGAGAGGACGTGGTCAGAGCCCAGAGAAATCCGTCCATTGTCCTCGCTTTGGCCAGAATGTTCGTTTCCAAGTCAGTGCCAGTTAGAAAATTGCAGTGCACAGAATGAAACTGGTTCTGCCTCTGTCTCCTGCCATCTTCATAAATTATTCACATTACCCAGCATTTAATACGCTTTCCCACTTCAGACCCGCTCCATGACTGTTCTCTACTCTTTCATTTACAGCTGTGGAACAACTATTTTCATCTGGCAGTGGCTTTTATCACTCAGGATTCTCTGCAGCTGGAGCAGTTCTCGCACGCCAAATACAACAAAATCCTGAATAAGTAGGTTGCATTTGGATCTCCTGGGCGGGAGGAGGCTGGTGAGAGTCTCTGGGCTGGTGCCTGAAGCAGACATCTTTTGTTCCTCCTAGGTATGGGGACATGAGACGGCTAATTGGCTTCTCCATCCGTGATATGTGGTACAAGCTGGGTGAGTAGGCACATGCATCCAGACAGACACATCTGCACATGCCTGGCTCCTTCCTGAAGGCCATCTGTTAAAGGGCCAGGGAGGTTTCAGCAGTGGGAGCTTGAAGTAATAGTTTATCTCTGTACACGCTCCGGGTCCTTAACAAGTGCCTGGTGAGAGAAGGTGCCCATCCCCACCTCCCACCCCCCAAAATAGCTGTGGATCTGCTTCCCCTTGATGCCCCTGAGGGGTTAAGAAGTGAAACTGGAATTTATCCAGAGGAGAACGAGCACAACTGCTGTGGGAATGGCCATCCTCGCACGTCACACACGTGCTTGCTGCTGCTTGGTGAGCCGGTCCACATTCTACTTCTTATGTGATGTTATGATCTACAAAAGACCCTCCAGCCTCACGGGGGAGAACTGATTCTGTGGGAGACAAGGGTCTTCTGTGATGTGATTTGAGCTGGAAGGTGACCCCAGAAGCTCTCCCTGCTTCACTGAGCTGCAGGAATCCTGTGTGCCGAGTGGTACCCGTGGGAGGAAGGGGAGATGGGATTGGGAAGACATTTACAGAAAGTCTGACTCAGACCTGTGCTAAGGAGATCTTATTTAATCTTCACATCACCTCCTGCAAGATGGAAAAATTTCCCCCTCCTTTTATTGATCAGGAGACTCAAAACGGGAAGTAACTTGCTTGAGATGAAACAGCAGCAAGTCCCAGAGTCTGGCTTTGATTCCACGAGGACTGAGGTCACATATCTCTGCCCAAGGCTTGAACCCTGCTCCATAAGTAGGTGTAGAAAGAATGAATAGATGGATGGATGGATGAAAAAACAGTAAAGGGTAATGAGGTATTTTCACCTCCGATTTTTGTGCGCCCTCCTTGACTCTCTGCTGCCGAATTGTTCTGCCCTGGGCTTGGATGTGGACCCTCTCCACCCGAGGCACTGCAGGACTGTGCCCATCTCTTGGATTCAACCCAAATTACCTCCTCTGACTTCACTTCTTACCTCCCCAGATCTCTTAATGTCTTTCAGTCCCCATCTGGTTTGCTAGACAGCAGTTCCTTGCCCTTTGCAGCAAGGACCACTCACTGTAGGGGGAGCAAGTTGGATAGACAATCAGTCTGGGTTCCGCGTTTGCTGTTAGCAACACGCTTAGGCCAAGAGCCCACACTGGTAACAGGAGGGTTGTGGACTCGCTTACAAGATCAGAGAGGTGGGGTCCCAGGCCCAGAACAGACTGCCACATCTCTGCCTGGGGACTCGCCCTGTGAATTACATGCTGAGACCGAAAGAAAAGGGAGCTGAGCGTGCTGGGCCTAACCTGGGGAAATAGCGCCTTCTCGCAGGGTGCCCTATAATCACAGGAGCAGAGGAGCAAAAACTGGGCGAGCGAAGCCAGGGAGGCCACACCCACATCAGAGTTTCTATCATTTTTACATTTGCCATATCTGGATGGAACCTAATTTTCCTATTCTGGCTGGTGAATCATGAAAGCCAGGCCTGTCAACTAAGACCTAAAGGGTAGGGCCCAGGCAGCCTGAAGGGGCCGATGCATATTAAACCCACAGAAATCCATAGAGCAGTGTGCTGTCAACATTCGGGGTCAGATGATTCTTTGTTGTGGAGGCTACCCTGTGCATGGTGGGACATTTAGTAACATCCCTGGCTTCTACCCCACCAGGGGCCAACAGCATCCTCTCTAGTTGTGACAAACAAAAAACTCTCTAGACATCACTAGATGTCCTGTGTGTGTGTGTATACGTACATGTGTGTACAAAACTACCCCCATTTGCAAGCCACTATCATAATGAAGTACAACCTCTGCCCTGTTTTTGTAGAAGCCCATGCCTTTATCAGTCTATCTTTTGTTTCTTCCCTTTGGATAAGGACAGGGATATGAGAAGTATTTTATTTTCATTCACCATTACTCTGCAGTAGGAAAAAAAAAATACAGCGCGAGTGAAGGCCTTCCTAGAAGCCAGCATCTGGCCCTGGGGTCAGGGATACGGGAAGGAGGAGCAGAGCTTGCAGTGAAGTGAAGCAGATGTGCCCCAGCTAAAAGGGACAGTTGCTGTCCTGCTCCGGGTAACTGCTGTCCTACTAGAATGCAAGGCTGGTGTCACATCTTCCCAGTTTTCAAAAGAAGCCAGGAAACATAATTTTGAAAGGCATTTTCCAATTTATGACTATTGATGATAACTCATTGAAAGTTTCAAAAACATCAAATGTGTCCAGTGAAACAGGGGGCCCAGATTCAGTCTGCATATGAGTTTGCATTCTTTGCTTTACAATAGCAAAGACTAGACAAAGCCGTGGTGGGCTTCCTTCCCCAGCTGTACACCCCAGGCATTGTCAGAACTTCAAAACAGGGATATCTGTTCATGCTTTGTTTGTTTCCAGTTCTTCCACACCGCCTGCTCTTTTCTGGATGTCCTTCTCTGCCGTTGTTTTGAACACAGAAGATTTTATTTAGATATAGATTATGTTTTGGCAGGTGTTCCCCCACTCCCAATTATGCTGATGAATGAAAAGATGGTACCACACATTCTACCTGCTTAGAATCACAGAGCATCAGAGCTGGAAGAACCCTTTAGAGATCATATTGTCCAGCATTTTTCAAACGTTTCTTTTTAGCTGAGGGCCAATAAAAAAAAAATCCCATGCTCAATACAGAAACTGGATGAAAGCTGGGCTCTTCTAATTGAAGTGGGGCGGGGGGCCCGGAGCCCATTATAATGGGCTGCTTCTGAGCTCCCATGTAGACCCCCTGAGGATTTTCAGGGGAGAAATCCTGAAGCACTTCAGAGAATAGTTTGAAGCTACAGGTCTGGTCCAACCCACCATTTGACCAATGAGGAAAATGAGGCACAGAGAGGCAGAGTGTGTTCAGGATCACAGAGTGAATTAGAGGGAGATGGAGGACAGGCACCCTGGCGTGAGTGTTTGTCCAGAAGCATTACGGACTCCTTGTTATATGCAGGTACCTGTAGGATGAATTAATGCAATTAGACATACACTTGTTAGGGCTTTGGGATGGAAAGAAAGAGTTGCTGACTGTGGCTGCCTTTGTTGGAGAAGGTACTTAGTGGAAGGGCAAAGGAGAACCAGGCTATGAAAGGCAGGGCCAGAGCCACTCTCGGCTCCAGGGAAGGTAGTGTGATGTTGCCTTCAGGATGGTCCACCCCTGCATCACTCTGCCAAAGGCCCAGACTTCAGAAGACACCATTCTTTCAGCCTTCCTTGGATGACCTCTCCATCAATGTTCCTGCAAAGCCTACAGCCGTCGAGGGAGGCAGAGTTTCCTAAAATAAAATGTTTATGGAGTTATGGAGAGGTCAGACGAAGCCACAGATGTCCACTGCAGAAAACAAGAAATGAAAGATGCTTTTGCAACGGTGGCCACGCCCTCACCTCTTGGCCTGGACTCCAAGGAAGAGGAAGGTGTATCAGCCTGAAAGGGTATTCCTGCTGCTCATTTAGTTACATGGCTGCCTTCTCCTTGCCTGACTCCTTCAGGGATCAGAGAACAGAAAGAGGAAGCAGAGTGAATGGATGGTTCCCCGTCCCCACCTCACTCTGCATTCTGCCAGATGCTGGTATGAGCATGCTTTCTCGGGTGTGCTAATGAGGTTGATCTGCTAATCCAAACCAGGACTAAGCCCTGTACATATGAGGAACCAATGCAGTGAGAAGGATGATGGGTTTTAAAGTGCGATTCACGGAATAACCAAGACAGAGTGAAACTTAGAAGCTATCTGTGGCAGATGAGGCTGAGCGCCCACACAGTAACCATTCTGTCCTTCTTCCTGGCTAACTGAACCCTGATTTTTTTTTTCACGATCACAACTTGCTCAGTTAACGTCTTGTAGCAAGCGATGGCCATGGGACCTAGCTCTGTCTGATGAGAATCAGCAGAAACAAACGTCTTGGGGCTTCAGGAAAACATTTTTTCCTAATTAAAATAAAAGGGAGGAGGACAAATACAGTGAGTACAACAAATTTTTGGCCCCTAGTCCCTCCACCTCTTCCTTTCTGGAAAATAATAGGATGCCTGGGGGTGCAGAGCCACCTTGAAGCCCTGAAGACCAAAGTCACAGGTGAAGGATGGAGGAGCAGCTCCGGACTGACCATCCGTGACTTCTTGGTAAGGAAGGAAACTAAAGCAGAGCTTCCTCGGTGTCGCCATGGTAATCAGATTCCTGTTACATCCCTACCCGATACATCATCTGATTCAACTCCCTGATTTTATAGGTGAGGTCACTGAGACCCAGAGGGACACAAGGACATTCCCAAGGTCAACAGCCAGTCAGTGACTCAGCTGAGGCGAAAGAGCCAGACTCTTAACCCAGAGTCCAATGTTGTAACTGATAACTCTTCCAGAATATGCAAAATATTTTCAAAGGGTATGAAATAGCCAACTAACTGTGTTTTTCAAAGACTGCTGATAATGTGTAAATAATCATAACGCACGTGATGTTCTAAAGCTTTGTTTTAATGCCCAGAGCAATCAGGGTGTGATCACCGTGATCATCAGTGTCATCATTTGCTTCTCATCAGGAAAGATACGAGCAACCCTGTGATGATAAGACAGCTAATTGCAAACATAATCTCAGGCAGGAAGATTATTCAGGGAAAAGTTTAGACAAATGTGTGTGTGTGTGCACGTGCGCGCTCGCGTGCGCATACACGTGCATTTGAGAGAGAGGGTACATGCAGGGAGGTCAGTAGAGAGAAGGACCATGTGTTGGTGCCAGGGCGCAGCCACTAAAGGGTTAAGGCCATTTGTGCCTTTGGATCCTGGGATGATGCTGAAGATAATGTACTTTTTCCTGATAGTGTAGCACCATAACATTTGATTTCTGCTTGGAGTGAAGCAATGCACATTTTGCCAAAATGACTTTGTACTTAACCATCTCACATTCGCTCGGGTTAATGCTGGTCTGCTGTGTTAACAGTCTTCATGGGAAAGAAAGACAAATTCCAGCGGCTGGCATCATGGCCTCACATGCGGGGA